GGGGAATTCTGGGAGTTGAAGTCCACTCATCTTAAAGTGGCCAAGTTTGGACAACACTGCCTTATAATAATAAAGTAGAATTCCACTAGTCCTTGTGGATCTGTTTCCTGGCCTGGCCTACCTTGAAGGCTGACCTCCAGCACCTTAACCACTACCCCACACTGGCTATCATATGTGTGTATATAAGGGTGGACTCAATTACAGAGACAATGGGTGCATTGTGGGAAGATCTGAAGGGCCAGGCTGGGAATGCATCATCCCAGAGAAGGCACACAATCATACACACAGACACACACACAGACACACACACAAACCTACATGCATACACACATGGACCCGCTAATTGCTTGTGGCAGATCATGATGGCAAGAAACATGCTTAAATATCACCTAGGATTTCCACATGATGTCAAAGTCAGATGACAGATTCTTGGCATACATCACAAAAATATCAAGAGCCTTCCATCTCTAAGCCTCCTGGCTTTCTCATGCTTACTTTTCTTCTTCCAGGCTGTTGATGTAGGCCACAAAATTGCTAGGGATGTAGCCCTTCTTTCCAGTAGTAAGGGATTTTGCTAACCACCATTCCCCATTGCTGTGAACAAAGTACAGTAAAAATAAATAAATGAACAAATAAACAAGGTAGACTGAAGAAAGCAATGTTTAATCCACTCTGAAGAGAAATACACTTAAATACAGGACAGAGGCATTATGATCTTTGAAAAATACAATCTGACAATGGCTATTATGGCATTATGGCTGACTAGCACTGGAAGGAATGAGCATTGAACAGTTTCCTGGAGACTCTTCTGAACATTTCCTAAGAGGCAATGTCCCAGGTCAGATGCAGATGAGCAAAACAAGCATAATACAGGAGTTTTCTAAAGGGGATGTTTCCTATTTGAGTAGTATTTTTATGCATTGATAGCAAAAGGAGCATGATGCAACCAGTCAAAAGCTGGGTAAGATCACCTACCTGCAGATGACTTCAAACTTCTCTCCTACAGTGAAAGGCAGATCACGGTCATTTGTAGAGGTAAAATCATACTGTGCAATTGCATATTGCTTGCCTATAGCATGAGAAAAGCAGAAGCATTGATTGGGTCTAGATCCTACATATATAGAACTGGCCCTGTGGCTCGAAGCTTCCGTTAGAACAGGAGAGTTTTCTGGTCCTATTCCTTACTAGACAAAACCAGAGTGGGGCCTGAATGACTAAGGCTTAATAGCCTTTTAATAATAGCTTTCACTTGGTTATAACTTTCTTGAAACCAGTCCCTATATAGCTAGTAACAGGAAGTCATACTTTAATTCTTTTTTGCATCCAGAGCAATTTAGCATCACCTTTTTAAAAAGCAATCATAATTATTAACAAGAAAAAAATTAATAAAAGGAGTAATTGCCCTTCAGTGTTTCACAGCTGGGACCAGCAGCTGGCTAAGAGATATAAATTCTGGACAAGCCAATAAGATACTACATGTGTATCTTCTCTGTAGATTTTACATTACAATACAAATCACAGGAAAGGGGTTTAGATTTATGCCTACTGGCCCTAGACTGTAGTCTAAAAAGAATGATTTGATGTACTTAATCCAGTTTCTCCTTCTCTATGATTATTTAAACGCCAAACAAATATCTGCACATGTTGAACAAAAAGGATGATCTAAGATAGGAATACATTTAGTTACCTATAGAAAGGATTGTGAAGCATTTTGAGCATATAATATTCTGTCAAATGAATATATATTTTTCCTTCCTTCCTTCCTTCCTTCCTTCCTTCCTTCCTTCCTTCCTTCCTACCTACCTACCTACCTACCTACACTAATCATTTCTGAAATTATTCTACATTGAGATGCTGCATCTTGTTGCAATAATTATGATGAGACACTGAATGATGGAAATCATAATCAGTATCATAACATCATTGTACAAAGGGCTTTCAAAGAAAGAAAGGATGTTTAAGGATATTACCTAAATCTAGACAGAGAAAGGGGAAGAAATGAAGGCAAGAAGAGGACTCACTAGTCAGTCATTTCAGAATATTTAGGCTTAGTTATACCAGGGCAGGAATGTGTAACCTATGACCCTCCAGATGTTGCTCAGCTGCAACCTCCAGCTTTCTCCATCACTGGCTTTGCTGGTTGGGGCTGCTGGGAATTGCAGTATCTTGGAGGTCTACAGGCTACCCATCTCTGCAATAAGATACAAGGACACAAAGTTTTACAGAAAACATTGAGAAAGAGGATGTAAGGGAGGCTCCAGTTATATGGGGCAGCTAGGAAGAAGGGCCTGGAGATTTCTGAGCAAATGATCATAACTTGAGATATATAAAGATATAAAAGGTACACTGGAATCAGTCTTTTGCTTACTAAAATGGCTTCTCCCCATGCTTTTGGCCTTCCCCAACCATATGTCCTCCATGTTGGGGATTATCAAGATCACCATATCATTTATGCTCTGCTTTCTATTGTCACAATCTTTCTTTTTTAAAATTTATTAAGAATTTATTAAGACTTTTACATAAAGTAAAAGACAGATCTAAAGAAAAAGAAAAAAAAGGAATGCAAGAAAATGCAAGAAAAGAAAAAATAGAAAAGAAAAAAAAACCCTGAAGTTATGAAATATAATGACTTTCAACCTTCTCTTCAACAGATAATTGCAGTCTTATAATCCTCCTCCTCTACTGTCACATTCTTGAGTGTGACCCAGCTTGTGATGAGAGAGTGGCGGCAACATCATCACAAGCATCACCTCTGTCCCTTTAGTTGTGATTGTTCAATACAGACGTGATCCCATTACCCTTGATTTCCCTGTATTCCCTGCTCCGCAGCAACAGAGAAAAAAAGATTTTATGATTCAAGCACTTGCTGGTTAATTAATGGATGGTGAGCAAGATATTTTTTTCTAAATATAGGCACTCATGAGACAGATACTTCTAAATCTCACTTTGTCTGACCTTTTCAAATAAAAACATTTACAAGCTTCCTCCTTTTCAATGCAAGGTCACATGTTTCTGGAACAATATATAGTTCTGTGAGAGAGAGACTAGTTATTTCTTCTTTTGGATTTATGGACAGAATCATGTCATTTTGCAAGCCAAGATGTTGCACAGGGGAAGGAAGGTACTTTGATATTAGACTCACCAGCATTTTGCAAACAAAAGTACTCACGTATTTGCCTATGTGAGGCTAATGTGTACATCAGTGTTTCTCAACCTCAGCAACTTTAAGATGTGTGGACTTCAACTCCCAGAATTCCACACATCTTAAAAGTCGCTGAGGTTGAGAAACACTGGTCAACATTCTTTCTCTCCTTAACCCATAGCACCATGTTGCTAATGGTGTTTTTTCACTTGTTGTCTATTGGCTGTTTACGATATATTCACTTTCTCTAGAAGCAAAGAAATAAATCCTTTTTACCTTTATCAAGTTGGTCACCAGAAGTGATGGGTACATTCTTGCCCTTTGGAAGAAATAAAAAGAGAAGCCAAGCATTACTTCATTGCATTCAAATCCATCCTTCCTGATGCCAAGGATACATTTGTAAATACTTCTATTACCAAATGTTGTCCTGGGAGCAAAATTCAGCACACTGAGAATTTACTCATTCAAGCCATCTGTTTATCTGGATTGAGCAAATTGTGCCCCTTCAGAAATGGCTGAATTACAATTTCCAGCATCCCTCACCACTGACCTGGCCAGTTGGAGCTGATGGGAGTTGATATTCAGTAACATCTGGAAGACTACAGGTTCTTCCCACTTGAAATATTACATTATGCTGGAATTTAGCCATGATCAGCAAACAACCATATTAAACAGAAACCATTGTATTATTTACCAGAGATCAAAGATGGGGAGATAGTATCAAAATCTATTAATTTAATTCATTAGCCTTTGCCGCAGGGTCAGTGGTAAGGGAAGATGGGTATTCCAATCCAAAATATCTGGACATCTGGACATTTGGACATTTTCTCTCTCTGTTCCAGATCTCCTTGGCTCCAACTTGCTTCAGTCCCAGGGTTGTTACAGACATTTTAAGCAACAGTGTCTGGACTCACAGTTTCACCATCGTAGTGTGACACTGATATCCTGATTTGTTTTTCTGATGCTCAGGAAGCACAGCCAGAGATCTCTGGTGGGAGGGGACTCCCATTCAATGCTATTCAGATGGCATAATTAGCTTCAGCAGTTTTGTCACATCAGGGGCCTTCAGATCTTTGGATACCAGCTAAAAGCTGAAGGAACAGTAATAAAAAATTGATCCCCTTCATGCCTTGTGAACAACAGCAGAGGCTCTAGCTGAATTCTATGCATATCATGGGCCTTGGCTGCCACTTATTACCAGCTGAGAGAGAGGCTAATTTCTTTCCTGTCTTATGGCACCTGCTTGATTATTATGATCAAGATGCTGGATTAGATGGACCTTTGATCCAACCCAGTAGGACTTATGCCTGCAGGAATTCTATATGATATGGATTGAGAAGTATAATGAGAAATCTTGCTAGAGGAAATGAGGTGAAATTCGTAACTAATGGGTGGAGGTCAGTGTTGGTAGCCAGATGGGAAATGCTTTTTTGTGGCCAGTTTGGCAGCTGGACTCACCTCTCAAAGATATGCACCAGTTTGCAGAAATCACCTTGCCTGGGTGCAGAATTTCAGTTCTTACATTGTAAGCACTACTCTTTCTTGAAGATTATTGCTTACCGGGGGTGGAGGAACTTTCTTTTTCAGGGTTCTTCTTTCTTTCTGTCTATATAGAGAATTATTCTTTTCTCCCCGACTGCTCTTGTTTCTGCTTTCGCATATGCCCATTCTGTGCTGAAATAAATGCAAGCAAGGCTGGCTTTAAATGTTAGCAATGTGACTTCATGTCAACTAAAATGGGATCATTTCATGAATGCCTTTGGTTATCCTTAAGATCTGACTATTCTCCAGGGCTGGACTATGCCCCAATATTTTAAACATGACCAGATGCCATTACTTTAGTAATACTATTCCAATCATGGTCAAGGCTGTGAAATAATCTTGTTCAGGTTGCAGCTCCTTAGTTAACTTTGAGAAAGGATTATAAAATGTTCCTGTGTCAGCTGTCTTGTAGCCAGTCTAGTTAAAGGTTATGAACCTAAATGAGCTATAGCATAACAACAACAATACAACAACAGTAATTCATAATCTGCTCTTCAATGTAAATATTGTCAGATTAATCCACATCATGAACAAATAAAAAGGATAATAAATACCACTTGTTTTACAATTATTAAACTTGTTTTAGTTACTGGACACATGCTCATTTGTTTGTATTCAAATGTGTTCTTTTTCAGCTGAAAGAAAAGATTCTAAAATGTCAGATTTTGCCATTCAGATTTAATCAGAGTGAGTCTTTCAGTCTTCCTGTATTTTTCACTTTTTCTATGAAATGTTCTAAGATGCTAATTATCAAATGTAGAGAAATCATTATACAAATGTTAAATTATTATTTCAATTTAATAATTTCAATACATTTATATTGTGCTTAATAACTAAGCATGGAGCAGAAATAAAGGAATAACAACTAATTTAGAATATAGCTCTTCTTCTGCCCGGTGCTTTCTGTGACATGGTGACAGCAAGTGCAAATGTTGAAAACTCCATTATGTGCTGTTCAAACACTGTGAGGTTATCAATTGACACATACTGCAATTAGATATTCAAGTCAAGTATCAAGAGTGAAAAGCCAATATTATTGAATGTGCAACTGAGAATAGTTAATATTCATCTTCTTAGTGGAAAATTAGTGTGCAGTGGTGCAATGCATTTGCTTAACACAAATCTGCTTTTTGTTTTATTTTTGGGGGGGGCGGAGTTGAGATCACATGAATTTTCCAAGTTTTAGTGTGCGTGAGTTCTTGTATGTTCAAGAAATATACACTTTATGCTTTACTCTGAAATATAGCATTTATTATTTTGAGCCAGGTCCCAACCCCATAACATGTTATCAGTTCTATAGCTTATTCCTAAACATAAAAATCTGGGAGTTGGTAACAAAATTGACATTACCAGATGCATTGCCAGGACTCCAAAATTAAATACAAAATTGCCTCTAAAAATCACTGAAATTTCATAAGATTGCTAAATCTCATGAGATTTTTAAATGAGAATGCCAACTTGAATTTTTTTTAATTAAAAAGTTACTTATTGAGTGTCCACAGTATCATGGAAAATCACTAAACAGTGTCCAATGCCTAAAAAGATTTTGAACCTGATATAAAATCCAAAGATAAGGTGGTAAGGAAAAGTCAACCAAGGGCTGCTTACAATCCTAAGTAACACTGCACAGAAATATGGGGTACACTATACGTATGCATAAATACAGGCCCACGTTTTCAACTTCAGAGGTATATATGTCTATACATATTTATTTATTTATTTCAATTTAAGTCCTGCTTTTCCTTCAGGAAAGCAATATACATTTCCTCCTTTATTTTAACCCCCAACAAGTAACTAATCTATTCTGGACCAAGAAATCAGCTTGACCCAAAATTACCCAGCAAGCTTCCATGGCTGACTTTGGGCTTGAACCTCAGTCTCCCCAGTCATAAGCCATTTTCTTACTGATCACTTACAGGTCATTTTTACACTAGTGTTATGGCATTTTCCTAGCATTATTTCCTAGCATCATATAGCCTTCACTGAAGTGATGCAAAGACCGGTCTCATTACTGTTATTTCAGCATAATAATGATTGGAAGACTCTAGAAAGTTGCTGCAGGGGGAGGGGAGATGACCACAGCATCCTCTAGAATCATCCAAACATTATTGTGATGTTATACAGGTAGTCCGCATTTATCGACCACTTGTTCAGTGACCATTCAAAGTTATGACTGCACTGAAAAAGAAGACCTATGGCTGGTCCTTGAAGTTGCAGCCGTTGCAGCATCCCTGCGGCCACATGATCATGATTTGGGCACTTGGCAACTGGTGTGCGTTTATCATAGTCACAACATCCTGCAGTCATGTGATCGCCATTTGCAACCTTCATAGCTGGCTTCTGACAAGCAAAGTCAAGGAAGTCACAAATTATGGTCATGTTATGTTGCACTTAATGACCTGCAGTGATTCATTTAATGACTGCAGCCAGAACTGACGAACTGACATTGTAAGTCAGGTGTGGTCACATGACGTTTCACTTTATGACAGCGTCACTTAGAGACAGAGTTGCCAGTCCTAATTGCGGTCCGTAAGTGAATACTCCCTGTATCAGTAATGAGCACAGATTTTATGTTTCCTCAGTGATGGCTGGGGAAGCTAGAAGTTAGTACAAGTCATTAGTAGCTTAATGTAGTCCAGAACTATTATACCACATTGGTTCATATATACAAAGACTCCTTCATACAGAAATCTTTTAATAAAATTAAATATTAATACTAAATAATTTAATAAATAATAATAAATATTAAATGAATATTATTTATTATTAGATTAACACATGTATTAGGCTTGTAATTAAGTCTGGTTTGTTTTTTGCTGAGCAATATTAGTGTGATAGACCTATTGGAATCTATCCTCACACCATGCAAACTGCGTTGAAATTTTTCTGCCTGCATATTAATTAGGGGAAGTTCATGTGAAATGATGATAAAATAAAAAGCGATCAGCTTTGATAAAAAGCTCACATCAGTTCATCTGGACCAGATTTGACAGAAATGGGGCAAACCAGGCTGTTATCAACCTTTCCTGAGAAAGACAGGAAATGAAAAGCATATCTCACTACAAAAAATGTTGACATGAGGCACATGAAGGCACATGGGATGACAGATTAAACTATCTTCAAACACAGCTAAGTATGTGGTAAACGTGGGCTTTATTTTAGGGCCTCAATATGGTGCTGTGGATCTTCCTTGGCATTTGCCGAGTTTCTATCCCATGAGATCCAGTAGTCTTTTAATTAAAATAAATTAAATGGGAAACTAATGACATGCATAGCAAAGTATCAGCCTCAGCTATATGCTGTTTTCAAGAACGCCTTTGGAGTTCTTGTGCAGTTGGTTGGCCACTGTGAGAACAGACTGCTGGAGTAGATGGTCAGGGGTCTGATGCAGCAGGGGGCACTGCTTATGTTTTTAATGATCCCATAGGAGAGCCACAGATATTTATAGAAAATAAAAAGAGCAGGAGTTGCAGAAGTGTGCCACCTGCCCAGGAAAAAGGACAAGGCAACTACTTCACAAGTGGACAGTCTTTGAGATAACAGGGACCACAATTCTGACCGCTAACCTTCTGAAGAGGTGGTCATTGCTGATTGTGATGATGCCCCTAAAAAGTGCAGGGCTCCTCTTTCAGGTTTTCACAGCCCCTAGCTGTCCTTGGCTAATGTAGAAAGCTAAGCAGGAAGACCTTGGTTTGATCTTGGTTGAGAAACTTTCTGGGAAGTTCAGAGTTGTAGACTGGATTAGGAGGCTGAAAAGACATCTTAGAAGAAGGCAGTGGCTGACCATTTCTATATGCCAAGAAAACTTCATGAATAGGTCCATTGTGTTTGCCACCAGATGATGAACTTAACTTGATGTTGATTTGACTTACCCCTGGCTGACATTTGGAAATAACATGCATGGTGTAATAAAAGGATGGACAAGCTGAAGCCCATGGCCTACCTGCAGTCTCCCAGTCCCATTCTCATTTAGCTAGAACCTCCCTTGATTGTCTTAGTGGCACCTGGGGCAAAGTAAAAAAGAAAAAAAAGCAAGATAGCAATTGCAACCCTGTGACTGAATTCCCACCCTTTCGTATGGGCATAAAAAGATGTAGGAATTCCATAGCATGGTGGTAAGCATCGTCTTGCCTGTTTTGACTCCCCTCTCCTGTGATTGCATCACAGAATATCATAGGCACAATACTGGTTTCTATGGTAATAAAATAAGTTAGGTAAGGTATTAATACATACCTATTTAATTTTTTTAAAAAATACATTTTAATATTCCTTAAGCTACAAAAATGCACTTTTTTCAAACAGAAAGTAAAGAGGGTGACTAAAAATTCTATCTCTGTCCTCTGTGGGGAAACTTAATTAGTCAGTGCCCCTTCCCTAGCTATGAAAAAAATGACGCAAGTAACTTCCTGGATTCATCAGTATATCAGCACAATAACCAATCAAACAACCATTTTAAAAAAGTGCGGCATCAGCCACCAAAGTTTGCCCATCCTTAATTAACCGAATTCAGATTTACAGTCATTTTTTTTTAAAGCATAGACTATTTAACTTACTACATCCTATTTTTGTCCTGAAGGTAATGATGAGAGATAGACAGATAATCTTTATTATGATCACTGACCAGTGAATTAGACAGTTGGCTTCATAAAAAGAATAAAAGAACAAAGCATGGGTAGCCCATGATACAGAAAAGAAAGCATAAATCTTACCTAGAAAGAACAATAAAAATATTTTAAAGTCTAAAACATTTCTAAGACATCTACAGAAGGGCATATGACATTTATTACAGTACAGTAACTATAGATATTAAAAGTAGAACCTAAGTAATAAAAACAAAATGACTAAATTAATTAATAAAAATACTTTTAAGAGTAAAATATTAAAATTTTACCTCATGAATGACTATGTAGAGTTTGTGTGTATGTAAATGTGTATAAGTAAAATGGTATATTGGTCAGCAACAAATAAGATGTGACAGAAAATAAAACTAGATGTAATGTAAGAAACTTAGAAGAATAAAATAAAATCAGAAAATTAAGAAAATAGTTTCCTGCATAGGGTAATGAGACATTTTTTTCTGTTCTCTTAAGGGACAGCATTTCCATTTCAATAAATCAGTGCTTGCAGATACATACCAAAAAAAAAAAAAAAAAAAAAACTCT